CTGAAAACAGTGAGTGTTTTACTTCTTCCCCTTCCAATTTGGATGCCTCCCCGCCTTTTTTTCTTGTCAGATTGCTGTGGCTAGTACTTCTAATGCTATGTTAAATAGAAGTGGCAAGAGTGGGCATCACTGTCTTGCTTCTGAGTATGTTAGCTGTGGGTTTGTCATAAATGGCCTTTATGTTTTTAGGTATGTTCCCTCTATAACAAATTTGTTGGGAGTTTTAATCATGAATGGATGTTGAATCTTGTCAAATGCTTTTTCTACATCTGAGACGATTGTGTGATTTTTATCCTTCATTTTGTTAATGTGGTGTATTATGTTGTTTGATTTGCAGATACTGAGCCAATCTTGCATCCCTGGATAAATCCTACTTGATCATGAAGCATGATCCTTTTTATTATTGTTGAATTCATTTTGCTAATATTTTGTTGTGAATTTTTGCATCTATCTTCATCAGAGGTATTGGCCTGTAATTTTCTTTGTAATATCATTGTCTGGTTTTGGTGTCAGGGAAATCTTGGCCTTGTAGAATGAATTTAGAAATGTTCCCTTTTCAATTTTTTGGAATAGTTTGAGTAAGATTGGTATTAACTCTTCATTAGGTGTTTAGTAGAATTCCTCTGTTAAGCTGTCTGGTCCTGGATGTTTGATTGTTGGGAGTTTTTTGATTACTGATTCAATTTCATTACTAGTAATCATTCTTTTTGGATTTTCTGTTTCTTCCTGATTCACTCTTAGAAGATTGTATGTTTCTAGGAATTTATCCGTTTCTCCTAGGTTGTCCAATTTTGGGTGTATAAATGTTTGTAGTATTCTATTATGATTGTATTTCTGTAATATTGGTTGTAACTTCATTTTCAAATCCAATTTTATTTATTTTGGCCCTTTTGTTTCTTGATGAGTCTAAATTAGGTTTATCAATTTAGTTTGTCTTTTCAAAAAACCAACTCTTAGTTTCATTGATCTTTTCTGTTTTTTGTCTCTATTTTATTTATTTCCAATTGTTTCCTTCCTTCCGTTTACTTTGAGCTTTGTTTCTTCTGCTTTTTCTAATTTCTTTAGGCAGAAAGTTAGATTGTTCATTTGAGTTTTTTTTGGTTTCTTGAAGTATGCCTGTATCGCTATAAATTCCCTCTTAGAACTGCTTTTACTGTGTCACATAGATTTTGGAAAGTTGTGTTTCTATTTTCAGTTGTCTCAGGGTATTTTTTGATGTCCTCTTTGATTTCTTCATTGACCCATTGGTTTTTCAGTAGTATGTTGTTTAACCTTCACTTGTTCATGTTTTTTGCAGTTTTGTTCTTATAGTTGATTTCTAATCTCATAGTGTCGTTGTTGGAAAAGATGCTTGATATGATTTCAGTCTTCTAAAATATTGAGACTTGTTTTGTAGCCTAGCATGTGATCTATTCTGGAGAAAGTTCCATGTGCACTTGAGAAGAATGCTATTTTTGGATGAAATGTTCTGTAGGTATCTATCAAGTCCATCTGATCCAGCCTATCATTTGGCCACTCTTTTCTGATTGATTTTCTGTCTGGATGATCTATCCATTGATGTAAGTGGGGTATTAAAGTCCTCTACTACTATTGTATTACTGTCAACTTCTTTCTTTATGTCATGTCTCTTAATACTTGCTTTGTATGTTTAGGTGTTCCTATATTAGGTGCATATGTGTTTATGAATGTTGTATCTTTGTCTTTTGCTATAGACTTTATTTTAAAGTCTATTTTGTCTGATATAAGTATTGCTCCCCCAGTTTTTTTTCATTTTTATTTGCATAGACCATCTTTTTCCATCCTTTCACTTTCAACCTTTGCGTGTCTTCAGCTGTAAAGTTTTGAAAAGTTTTTTCCTTTTTTGTTCTGATTGGCTGATTCCAACCATTCTGTCTTCCAGGTTGCTTATGTGTTCTGTATCACCTAATCTGCCATTAATTCCTTCTAGTGTATTTTTCATTTCAGTTATTGTATTCTTCAATTCTCAACAGTTCTTTTTATATTTTCTAGTCCTTTGTTGAAATTCTCACTATGTTCCCCTATTCTTTTCTAAGTCCAGTGATTATTTTAATAACCATTGCTTTGAACTCTTTATCAGGTAAGTTACTTATTTACATTTCATTAAGTTTTTTTTTCTGGTGTTTTATCTCATTCTTTCATTTGGAGCATATTCCTCTGTCTTCTCATTTTGTCTTACTTTCTCTCTTTGTCTATGAAATTAGGTGAAACAGTTACCTATCCTGGTCTTGAAGGTGTATGCTTGTGGGGAAGCATCCCTTTGCAGTCTGTGTGTGCTCAGTGGCTTTGGTGGGAGATCTAGATCTGAAATGAGCAAGGGTCATGACTTCTCCTGGTTTGAGCTGGCAGCCATCACCTTGGTGGGGATTAGGGCTGGAGACAGAGTGGCTAGAGTCAGAGCCTGGTGTAAACTGTGGATTCTCCTGTGGCATGATGGCAGTTGCTGCCTTGGTGGGGGTATGGCTGGAGCTAGAGGGGCTTGAACTACAGTCTGGAGCAAGCTGCAGCTAGTCTTGAGACATGCTGGCAGTCACACCTTGGTGGGGCTTTGGCAGAGAGGCTGCAGCTGGCGACTGGTGCAGGCTGGGGTGGGGTGTTCTGGGGCAATCCAGCAGGTTAGCCAGAGCACCAGGAACTTTTCAGTCTTCTGCCTCTGCACTGATATTGAGAGCAAGCAAGTCTGTGAATGTGCTTTTCAAGAGCAGAGTCTCAGTTTCCTACAGCCTTCTGGTAAGCCCCACTGGTTTTCAAAACCAGGAAATGGGGCTTATATTCCTGGTGCTTGACCCCAGGGTTGGGGTGCCCAATGTGGGGCTGAAACCTCTCTCTTCTTAGGGAGTATCCCTGAGCCTGTGATTTCTCCTCCTCTGGGTTGCCCACTGAGGGTGTGGGTCCCAACTCGATCACTTCTCCTCTGCTACTAGACTCCGTGTGGTTCTTTCTTTGGTTGTAGAAGAGTCATTTGTCTAGTTTTCAGGTTATCCTCAGAGAAAGTTGCTATATATATATTTGTAATTTTGATGTGTTTGTGGGAGGTGAGCTCAGTGTCCTCCTAATCTGCTATCTTGATCGCACATTCTTCTACCATTTTATATTTGTAGTGTAGTCCTTAACCTGATGTATTAAACAGAACAAATGTTTAGCTATGAGATAATTTATTCCATTATACTTCCAATAATTATCAAATGGAAGGTGCACAAACAAGTAGATAAAGAAAGAAAATGGTCGCTTGAGAACTGACAGAATCCTTAAATATTAGTTATATTTGTGTGAGGTGCACTGCTCAATATTCACTTGAGAATGTGATAATGACCCCTGGTGCTTTTTAATTCACATTTGATTCTCAAGAATCTTCAGAGATTTATCCTCAAAGGCAAACAATAAAATAGCACAGCTCTTATATTACAACAATGACTTTGAATTTATTACTGTAAGATGAATGAATTCTCATTTTTAGAGGTAAGATATTTGGCTTTTGTGAGTTAATCAGTTGTCCTGATTTTCAATAACCATTTGAGAACACTTTACTCTCTGAAGTTGTATCTGTTCTCACAAGCCAGGAGAAACAGGGCAGATGCTATCCAGCAGTCAGCTAGCAAGTAACCTTAGCTGAATTAACCTGTTTCTGTAGTCTACTTAGTGTATAAATAGGCATAATTCAAGTTACCATGATTCCTCATTTTTCCACCCGTAAGACCAGAAACTCACATGGTCTTTCAATGATATTAAACCTGGTACTCAGCCAATAAGTATTATACTATAAAATTCGCTACATTTAAGGTGCTTTGGGGACTTACTGTTTGTAAATATGTTGGAAAGACTTCCTTTGTTTATTGTTCTGAAGGCTTAGGCTTACAGGCAACCAGAGGCTTTTGGGCAAATTTCTCCAAGCCAGAAAACTTGGAGATGAGTTTCAACCTGGCAACTTGCTGGGCGAACCTGGGTACACTTCTTAACTTTTGAAGCTGGAACTTTATTCACCTGTATATTATGTTGAAACAAATACTATTTTGTTCTATATTACTCCAATTTGAAAACATAATTACATTAGGAAATGATCAGATTTGAGTGAATGTAGTTTAATTATGTCCTAGATATTAAACATGTAAGATTTTGCACAGTAATTATATTGATATTTCAAACTAATTGAGAAAACAATATTTAATTGTAAATGTTAAATAAACATAATACATTTATAATAGCTGACTTCATTTATAACCTTAATTCGAACTTTCTTTCCCTTTCTTCTTTGTCCAATTAAGAAAATTGTATTTCTCCTTTTAAAAACATGGTCTTGTTTTATTGAGAGAATTTGTAACATTTGTGATTAACTAGGCACCTCTTTCATACTTTAGCTGTCAGAAAGTAGCAATGTAATTTGTTATCCACCCATTTCCAAGAGACTTGACTTCATCATAAGTATTCTTTAATTTCATTTATAGCATAGTTACTAAAGGAATGGACTGTATTCAAACTACCTGAGATTCACATCTTGATTCTAGAATTTGCTATGTAAACTTAGCTCAGTTACATTGCCAAATTCAGTTTCATTGTCTACAAATGAGATAAAATACTTAATATTATTTCATACAAATTAAAATAGAACTATATAGAAAATTCTTAACCCAAGGCTTGCCATTTAGTAAATATTCAATAACCGTTAGGTATTATATAATATAAAGAGGAAAAGATATACATTATTTGAAGCAGGTTTTCCCGTGTTCGTGCTGAAAACAATTTTTAAAATATAGAATATTCATTATATAAATAAATAAAATTTTCTACTCTAAAATATATATAAAAATAAAAGAATATAAGTTTTTTACTCTAAAGTAAAAAAAATTAGTCCAAACATAACTTGAATAATTTACTTGTTTATAATAAACTCTATATGTATTAATAAAAAGAAAACCATCAAATTAAAAACTTCTTTAATGTAATGTCTCATCACAGGTTCATTTTGGTAGCAGCTACCCGATCTCATGGATTCCCAGGGGCATTGGAACAATACTGCGATGACAGGGTTCATTTTACTGGGCTTAACAAATGATCCAATTCTTCGAGTCATCCTCTTCACGATCATCCTTTGTATCTACCTGGTGACCATATGTGGCAATCTTAGCACAGTCATTCTTATCAGAATCTCTTCTCAGCTCCATCATCCTATGTATTTTTTGCTGAGCCACCTGGCCTTTGCTGACATAGGCTATTCATCTTCTGTTACACCCAATATGCTTGCAAATTTCCTGGTGGAGAGAAATACCATCTCCTGTCTTGGATGTGCCATTCAACTTGGTTCAGTTGTTTTCTTTGGGTCAACTGAGTGCTTCCTTCTGGCTGCCATGGCATATGATCGCTTCGTGGCAATCTGCAGCCCACTGCTTTATTCCACCAAAATGTCCACACGAGTTTATGTTCAGTTACTCACAGTGGCTTATGTAGGTGGTTTTCTCAATGCTTGCTCTTTTACTGTTTGCTCCTATTATTTACTTTTCTGTGGACCAAATTGAGTCAATCATTTTTTCTGTGATTTTGCTCCTTTGGTTCAACTCTCCTGTTCTGATATCAGTATCCCCACAGTTGTCCCCTCATTTACAGCTGGCTCCATCACTGTGGTCACGGTGATTGTCATAGCCATCTCCTACATCTACATCCTCATCACCATTCTGAAGATGCGCTCCACCGAGGGCCACCACAAGGCCTTCTCCACCTGCACGTCTCACCTCACAGTGGTCACTCTGTTCTATGGGACCATCACATTCATTTATGTGATGCCCAAGTCCAGCTTCTCAACTGATCAGAACAAGGTGGTGTCTGTGTTCTACACGGTGGTGATCCCCATGTTGAACCCCCTCATCTACAGCCTGAGGAACAGTGAGATTAATGAGGCTCTGAAGAGGGAGCTTTGTTAAAAACTTAACTTCTCGATCTGTGCATCCATTCTCCTCTTAAGTTCTTTGATCATCTTTATGATCATTACTCTGAACTCTTTCTCAGGTAGATTGCCTGTCTCCATACCTCTCAGTTCTTCTGGGGTTTTACCTTGTTCCTTTGTCTGGAACATGTTCCTCTGAAGCCTCATTTTTTCTAAGTTGCTATTTTTATTTTTATATCTGTGGTAGGTTAGTTATATTTCTCAGCCTTGGAGAAGTGGCCCTCTGTAGAAGGCATCCTATGCATCCCAGCAGTGCACTCCCCTCTCATCACCCAAGCTATATGTTCTAGGGGTTCCCCCTAAGAGGGCTGCATGGGTCCTTCTGTTGTGGTGGGCATGTGGCTGGTCTGGTGGGCTTGGATGGCTTCTAGTCTGGTTGGTTGCCAGGCCCTCCCTCGTGCGGATGCTGCTGGCTGCTGCTTAGTGGGTCCTGGTCACGAGGTGGCTGGCTGGTTGCAGAACTCTAGGGGGTCCCGGGACTCATGCTGGCTAGTGGTGGGTGGAGTCAGGGTCCCAAAGATTCTGAGGCTGCTGCCCACACACTGGCAGTTGAAGATAAGTCCTGGGGTTAGTGCCAGATACTGGCAGGAAGAGCTGATTCCTGGAGTCTGGCTGCAGGGCTCAGAGATTCTGGAGCTCGTTTCGGATCATCGGTGTGGGGGCTGGTTCCTGACACATTTGGGTATGGGGTCCGGGAGGTCCTGAAGGTTGCATTGGCCTGCTAGTGGGCGGGGCCAGGGCCCAGCTGGTCCCAGGGTAGGGTCTGGCCTACGTTCTGGTGTCTACTTCTGGTGTTTCCTCCCTGGTGGGTGAGGTTGGTCTAGAGGCAGGCTTCCTGGTGGGACTTGCTGGTGTCTGCCCCCTGGCAGGTATAGCTGGGGTTTGGCCCTCTGGTGGGCAGGGCGTTGTCTAGGGCTGCGTCTAAAGGCAGCTGTTAGTCTTTAGGCAGCCTGTCTGCAGAAGGCTGGGGCTGTGTCCTCGCCCAGTTAGTTGCTTGGCCTGAGGCGTCCCAGCGCCAGCACCTGCAGGCTGTTGGGCTAATGAGCTGGAGGAAGAGCTTCAAAATGGCGCCCGCCAGCACCGGCGTCCACGCAGCAGAAATAGCTCCTAAGAAAAGCTGCTGCCAGTGACTTTGTCCCCAGGGCGAGCCGCAGCCATGCCCCCTGCCTCTGCGGGAGACTCTCCAAGACCGGCAGGTAGGTCTGGCCCAGGCTCCTATCAAATTATTGCTTTTGCGTGGGATTTTGCGTGCGTGGGATTTTGTGTGCGCCCTCTAAGAGTGGAGTCTCTCTTTCCCCTGGTCCTGAGGGGCTCCTGCAGTTAAGCCCCACTGGCCTTCAATGCCAAATGCTCGGGGGGTCGTCTTCCTGGTCCTAGACCCCCGCCTGGGCTGGGGGCCTAACGTGGGGCTCAGAACTCACTCCTGTGGGAGGACCTCTGCACTATGATTATTCTCCAGTCTGAGGGTTAATAGGGTTTGATTATATCGCGAGTCCGCCCTTTTCACTTGTTTTGTTGTGGTTCCTTCTTTGTATATTTAGTTGTAGATCTTTTCTGGTAGGTTCCAGTCTTTTTCATCGATGGTTGTTGTGCATATAGTTGTGATTTTGGTGTGCTCCCTAGAGGAGGTTAGCTCAGTGTCCTTGTACTCCGACGTCTTGGCCACTCTCCCTAATCTTGCAATGACCTTTAAAATCGCCTCTTCCTATTTGATGAAGACTGCTTTGTTTTTCCTTTGTGCTTAGTCTAGCTTCACTTGCTCACCTCAGCTTGGGGGTAAAGAGAGAGCTTGCTAGAAAAATATTTTCTTAATTAATTTGTAATTTTTTTAGTATTTGATCTAATGATAGACCATAAAATAACAATAAAAGGAAAAAGAGTGCCTGTGGTCAAAATATATTGGTCTGTATGTTATTAGACAATGGGAAGGCTCTTAGTAAAGGTCAGGGTTAGATTTTCTGATATGAGAAAGTAAATTAGAAGCCCATAGTGAGCTACCATTAATAAAATGAAATTTAATTATTAATTAGGAACACAAATTGGTTAACATGAAAAAATAATCTGCAGAAAATTCTATAAAATTTTATTCACATCTTTTGCAACGTTGTACTCTGCTATAAGTTAAGGTTTTTGGACCTCCAAACTTTTGAGACTGTGTCCATTTCAACAGCAGCTTGTCCTGGAATGAGTGTGATAATTATAGTTATGACTGAGTACATTCTGAGGGGAGATGACCAAGTGGAACCAGACAGTAAAATTACTGGACACCTTCTTTTTGCATGGTTATCTATAGATGATGGGCTTTTTGGACGCATAAATGCTGGCCTGTGTTCTGGAGCCTAGTCTGGCTCCAGCCTAGTTACCGGAGACTTCATAAAAGAACAGGATGAGATGCCCCTGACCAAACCAGCTGTGAATGCTTATGTCAGGTCAAAACTGGTGACTTCTCTGTGGAAATAAGCAGGGTTCCTGAATTCCTAGGGAGTGAGTAAACAAGCTCTTTAAGTGATTTTTCGTGGTCAGATGCAGCCTGTTAAGGAAGATTGAGGGAACTAGATTGTGTTTCCTCTGTGAAGTTTAATTTATCTGTATACACTCATGACTACCATATTTATTTCTGTTTCCCTGTCCTTTATTTAGTGCTTTAGACAAAAATATTTTTGTCTATTGAGTCTCAAGCACAAATTGTCTAAAGTAATTATCTCCTTCCACCCCCAACTTGCTCCCCTCCAATGTTCCATATCCTAATAAGAGGCACCATCATTCAATCAACATATTGATTAGAAACCTGAGGGTAATTTATTTTTCTCCCTCCACATGTTTGCACTCAGTGACAAAGTCTTGTACATTCTGAGTCCAATATTTATCTCCCATTGCTCTTCATTTTCATTGTCAGCACTTTTTTCCCCCAGCTAACACCTTATATATTTATTTTACAGTAGTACTCCTGTAATATTTGATTTTATGTGTCAATTTGGCTAGGCTACAGTGAGCAGGTGTTTGGTCAAACATGAGTCTAGATGTTGCTGTGGAGGTGTTTTTTTAGATCTGATTAACATTTAAATCGGTAGACTTTGAATAAAGCAGATTACTGTCCATAATGTGGGTGGCCCTCATCCAATCAGTTGAAAGCCTTAGGAGAAAAGACTTAAGTCCCCTTAAAAAAGAAGGATTCTGTCTCCAGGATGCCTTTGGACTGAAAACTGTGACATCAACTCTTACTGGAATTTCCAATCTCCTGGACCGCCCTGTGCATTTTGGAATTGCCGGCTCCCATAATTGTGTGAGCCAATTCCTTTAAAATAAAAACAACAACATTATAGTGGTTCTGTTTCTCTGGAGAATCCTAGCTAATAGAACTCTAACCAGCTTTCCTCTCCCCTCTCTTACTGTCTTACAACTCATTCTCCATATACCAACCATGGCATAAATCTAAATAGATTGCTTTCCAGGCGGCGGGGACGGAGGTGGGCCTGGCGGGTCCGCGCGGCCGGGCCAGAGCCCCCCGGGGTCCCCGCCCGCTCCAGCTCCCGTCCCGCGCCCGCCTCCGCCCCCGCCCCCGCCCCCGCGCCCGTCGCGCGCCCGCAGCGCGCCCGCCCCGCGCCCAGC